TGCACCCTTATGTCTCTTGGTCCCTCGAGAACACAGTAAAACTGCTGTAACTTTCGCCCTTTTATCCAAAATCTAAGGCTTCATACTCCGTATAACCATAATTAAGTATTGTTATTTTGTAGTGAAGGAAACATAAGTTGTAGGTAATGTTGCATCTGTTAACAAAATGCACTGCATTTGTTCATGGATTTAGGCAAACTTGTAACAGCTGTGCACTTTCAATGTCCTATCAGTGTAGTCTGATTTGATTCCTTCGCTTTTGAGAATGAAGAGTTTCAGAGTTATCAAATTCAATTCTTAGAAAATTTACTCATTGTCCAGCAGCTACTTGAAGTGAATGCTGGACTTATTTAACTTAATACTTGTAGGGCAATCGATATTTTCAATTTATAAGAAAACATTCGACATTAAGAATAAATATTTACCAATTAAATGAAATCGGTATATTAAGCAGCATGATAAATTGAGTTTCCTTAAAGAGGCACATCACTTTTAGGTTGATCTATTAACTATTAAGTGTTCTTTTACAGATGGGATTACTGTTTCTACAGAGGCAGTGTGGTTGAGAATTCTGTGATGATGTGGTTTATGTGGTAGAGAATTCTGTGACCTTGTTCGGGTCATTATTTACTATGGATGCTTCTCAAATATGTGAACTGCCCACTCTATCTGATAAAGACAAGCAGGTGAGTAGGATGTTGTAATATTTTTCCTTTCTAGATGTAAATATGGTCTTTTAACTCATGTATTAATTTGGAAGATTCCCTGAGGGATAACTGGTGGAATGGCTGTGTATTGGTTTTGTAATATGAAAAGTTTACTGCAATCTATGCTTCCATTATATGAAGGAAAAGGGTATTAGTCTTTATGAAAAAACAAAATTGCCAAACTTAGAAGAAATCTTTTCTTAATTACGTTAAGTCGGGATTACTGTAAATACTTGCGAGGTGATTTTCAGGCTTCAATGTTTACGAAAAATAAGAGGTGTGGAGAAGTACGGATGAGCAGTGGTGAATTTGGATATCAATCTACAAACTCGAAAGAGAAACTCTCAACGTTTCTTCAATTAGAAGGTAGTATACAACAAGAGAAAACTTATTAGTAGTTACATTATTAGAGAATATTTTTCTTGACCGCGTCAATTTTTCCTTTGTATACTTTTGTATTTGAATAACTAAATAAAATATCGTGTTTAAATGCTACATTTTTTTGTCCATTGAATGTATTATTGTGGTATATATTATTTTTCCTCTATAGTTTATTGTAATGAGAAAAAGCTACTTTGAATGAATGTCTTCAATTAGAAGTTGCTTATTTATGTTTAATGTTTCCAACTAATGGGCTCAACCCTTATAGCGCAATTATAGTATGAGTTTTGCTATTTATATGCTTTTGAGTTGAAATAACATATTTGAGAAAAGCACTCTCCGTCATTTTTTCATCTACCTATTAATTAACATGTTTGAATGTCGAGTTGTTATACTGCATAATAAACATTCATGTCATATGCCACGAACTTCATTTCATGAAGCAAGAAGAAAGTGTTCCATAGTTTTCTCTGTTTACATACAGTGTTCACATCATAAGCATGATATCTTTTGAAGAAGAAAAATATGGTTGTAAGTCATCAAATGTGCAGTACTGTTTCACTTGTACATGGATGATGAAATCTATATTTTGGTGCTTCATTAATTGTTGTTTGTTTCATTAAGCTTCTACAATCACGCTATTAAATAGCCAACTTCGCTGGTAGCACGTGCATTGCACGTGCGTCAGACTAGCATTCTAAAAAGGGTTGTTCTATGGGTACATACTTTAATTTTCAACCACTCATTCTCCAAAAAATACTATTCATTACACTAATTTTCTCCCAATAATGGAAGACAAACAAGCTCTTAATTAATCAAAAAAATTACATCTTTATTAATAAAAATTTAATACTTAAACCAAAAAAATTATATATAAACTAAGCAAACGTGCATTGCACGTTGCTTACACCTAGTTTTCTCAATAAACAACTATAGATGGCAGTTGTATTAATCACAAGATCAGTTACATCTTTTTCTTTATTCTAGGTTAGGGTTCTAATTTTTACTATTTAAACTAATGTTAAGACTACGTTGTCTTTGGGTTGTTATTGAATAAAAAATTATAGACTTGGGAGTTCTTCAAATTCTTTTTCGATCCAATATCTCGGTATTCAATTTTAAGAACATCTTATGGGTAAATAAACTATGATTTTATTTAATATGAATAAAAGCTTTTCGTTTATTCAAAATATTGTACATATCACTTTAACAAACTTTATCCCGATTCATAAAGCATTCCTTTACAAGACTATCTAAGCAGCACCGCCGCCGCCGTCATGCCCATGATGCCCATGGCCATGGCCATGGCCATGCCCATGGCCATGCCCACCGTCATGGCCACCGTCACAGTCACCGCCACCGTCACCGCCACCGCCATGGCCTACTGCTGGAAATCCTCCATATCCAAACAATCCACCTCCCTTCTTATGCNTACTCACTCATTTTTAATGAGTTACCGAATGCTTACTTATCTTTTCATATTATTACACATCCATCACCCCTTGAGTGACTGTACAAAATTGTGGATGGGAAATCACACTTTCAAAACGACAATCCTACATAGCTGTTGACAACGTTAACCATGTCCAAGTCACCGAAATCACATCAACAAAACACGATTTTCTTTCCAGCTTCACGCCTTTGAAATAAACCAAAATACAAAAATTCCCAAATCAGAAGAACCCCCAAATTCTAAGCCCTAATTCCAAACCCCCAACGTAGAAATTCCAATTAGCAAGATTTGTCAATATGACACCTGAATTTTGGATATTAAGGTCTCTCATTTATGAGTTTTTCCCCATTTAACTAAGTCCTACCAATTTGAAAATTTTCATTTTTATGGAAGATCTCTGCTTTCTTCCCCGGCTAAACGATTCACAGTTTCTTTCAATTGGTTAGTTTTTCTGCTACTTTAACAATAATTCGAGGAATTTAAATATTGAATTGTTCGACATCGGTAATTTGTCTGGGAAGCAAAATGAATGACATAATTCCAACAAACTACTCAATTGAAGTTGAAAATCTTCTATTAGCTCACCATCAGGTAATTGGAACAACTCTCATTCTTACAAAGAAATATTTTCATTAATCCCCAAATTGGTTTTCATTAGAGCCATCAATCAATATCCTCGCATGTCTTCTAACCCGCTATGCAACAACTCTATTGATTAGTAATTTCAAATCATCTCTCACAGCCTTAATAATAAATTTGACTTTTAATCAGGGACAACCTTGAAGTCTCTAAATACTTCTCAGCAATATACTTAGCTCTATAATGCCTATTTGTTTTGTTTCGTATATATGTGTGTTGTGAAATGAATGTTTTAATTTGCATGTAGCCCTTCTTCTTATTCCATGAAACTTAAATCTTCCACTTGTAATCCTTTTTTTTTTCACACTCCTTGTGCTCTCTTATCATCATTTGCCTTAAACTTCAAATTACGCCTAATGACAACTCTATAATGTCTAACAGCTTTCTTAAATTCTTCTATGTCTTTAAACTTTTCCCAACCTCTAGTTGTCGATTGAACTTCTCTATTTCAGCATCATGAGTGGGGAAACGATAATTATTTTCCTCACCTAAAGAATAATCAGTATGTAATTCCTCAGAATACGCGTAATATGTATCATCTAATTCTAAGTCATCATCTTCACCAGCTATTTGAAATTCAAGGTCCACATTCAGACCAACCACAATTCTTTTTGGTGCATTTCTCTGATAACGAGAATCTTCATCGTCAATCTCATCCTCTGAGTCATTTAATTGGCACTCAAGTGGCACCAAATCTTCACCTCATTGTTCATCACTGGAATGCAAAAGGCCTAGGGTTAATGTTTGGTACATACATATTCAGTCTGAATTTGATTAAAGTATTGTTACATGTAAAATAATGGGGTCAATGTATTGCAACAAAAGTAGGGTTTTAGCCTTTTGAATCTGATTATAATATTGAATATCTCAAAACATTCAGTTTAGAATCATTTAGATACTCATTCAATTTTATTTTATTTTTTTATTATTTTTTTTATTCCCATAAGGAAACAAAGCATGTTCCAATAAAATAATATAAAAATTTATCTTCTCGTGGTCTTTCCTGCTCATCTTTCAATAGTGCATCTTCCATACAATTATTGTCCATATGAGAGCCTTGTGGGTCACCTATGCTCTCCATTATCCTGACAAGAAAAGAATTCTCGAGCCCAATACTGTATTAACGTTGATTTTAGGGAGAATTTTGAAGAAATTGATATGATTTTTTCTTAATATTCTTTTCCAGAGAAGAAAGGTCGTGAAAATAGGTCGAAGACATGATTTTTAGACGAGAAATGCTGTGGGTTTAATTCCATGTTGTACGATTTAACAGAAGAAAGTTTGCTAGGTTTGATTTCTGTTAACCACGTCTAATTTTCCGTTTATTTGAAGAGATGGGAGTTAAATGAGTAGTTGATGAGTAATTATATGGGAAGAATAGTGAGCATTGGGTAACCTATTAATAGTTTTTCAGAAGGTATTTAAGAATCATTCATGGTGGGAAACAAGTCTTTAAAATTGAATTAAAAAGACAGCTTATTTTCTAGAAGATAAACATCAGGTCAGGAATTTTTCAAATCTGTAGCTGTTTCTTCCAATATTCGGTTTTTGAGATTTACGTCAAATACATCCAATAACTTTGTAACCCAGTACTGGCCAAAATATCAAACATTTTAAGGTATAAGACAAGATATCGAATAATTGAGACGCATCCTATGAAATTAACTTTATTTAATGTTTAAATAAAAAAATTGTTGTAACATCCTTGCAAAAACTTCTTAAATTTGGTATAAAAGTTCCCTACCTTCACCCATTATATATACACCTTGACCAAGAAACTAAGGCCTATCAACTCCAGGCTGAAGACATTACCATCTGCAATGGCAGTAAATTCAATCAGACTATCACTTCTTATGTTTCTGGCCATGTTCATAACTTCAGAAGCAGAACTTGGACAGCCTAAAGAGACCAAGTTGACACTATATTTTCAAGATTATTCGGGGGGGCCTAACGCCACTGTTGTACAGATTACGGGTCAACCTGATGGCCTTCTTAGCTTCACCAAATTTGGAGCCATCTTCTGCACCGATGACCCAATAACCCGAGGGTTTGATCCGTCTTCGGCAGAGATAGCACGGGCCCAAGGTTTGTATGTGACCTCAGCTTTAGATGGGTCAAATACACATGTCCTAATATCGATTGTTTTCACCAGTGAGGAATACAAAGGTAGCACTCTTGAAATACAAGGAAGCAGTGCTCAGTTTGAGAGGGTTAGAGAAGTGGCCATAGTTGGCGGCACCGGAAAATTCCGTCTGGCACGCGGTTACTTGACTTTTGAGACGATTCATTACGATGCTACAAGTTACTATGCAGTCATTCAATGCAACGTCACTGTGTTACACTAGAGAGGGAGCCAAGATTTTTTCTCGCGCTTAAAAGACCTTTGTAATGATCAATAGCATATTGGCAACTTGATCGTAGTATCGTATAGTAACAAAATAAAATATTTCTAAAAATTTTATTCATTATAATGTTAATTTGCTTATTAAACATGATAAGTCAAACATGGACTTTATTAAGTCCATGTTTGATTCAACTAAAAAGTTATATTGAAATCTAAATCAAAATTCATAATTAATTTAATCATACTCACAACTTTTTAATTACAAATTCCATCAGTTTTGATCAAAATTTAGTAAAAGTTTGATTTTTATTTAAACAATCAAGAGCTAAATAACATCATTGAAGTGGCACGAAGTTCTATAACCAGAGGAATTCTAAGATAAGGTTTCTCTATTGATCCATTAGTTCTCTCTTCTCAATATATATTTTGTTTTCCTTTTTTGCCTTTCTTCCCTTCTGTTCTAATTGTTAAACAATTTTCATAGACCAATGGTGCTACATCTCAACACTAAATATATTCAACACTTGCTCTCATGATTCACTCCATGCTATATGTTACGAAAAGTGAGAATAGGCAATGGAAAATTAAGAATAAGAACACACACATTTAAATGAAAACCCTAGATGGGAAAAACCATGAGACAAAAGAGGAGAAATCCACTTTTTCCAAGATGAGTAATGTTGAGGTTATCCCACATTAGTTGTGAAAGGGGCCGGTGTTCAATTTATAAGTGTGAGAGAACCCATCATCCCTTGAGCTAACTTTTGGGGTTAAGAACGCCCAAGATCACCAACACAGGTATTAGAGCATTGTGATGACACCATCTGGAGCTGAGTTAGATAATAAAGTTTTGAACATTTTTCATGAGTCCGGTAATGAACCAAGCAACCATAACTCGTGAATCTCGCTATCAAATTTAATACACATTCCAACCAACTAATTAATAATTCCTTGAATTGTATTCAGATTATCATTTAAAAGAGTTCCATCCTAGTATCTCAATGCCATCATTTGCTTAATTAGAAACATCTTATTATTTTTGCTCTTTTTAACATATAAATGTTCAAGCTTACTCTATAGAGTACGAGCATGTGTCGCCCCGCTAACATGGTTGAAAACATTATCATCTGCCCATTGCCTGATATATCCTCAAACTTGTCAATGCAACAAACTCTATTCTTCATCGAATTGTTATTTTATTTTTCAACTGCAAACACCGGTAGTTAATAATATTTCACATAAAGAAAATCCTCATTTCATTTCCATATGTGATAATTTAAACCATTCAAGATGATTATTTTACTTAAATTGGCTTACATAATTGAAAATTAGTAAGTAGAAAAAATAATTTTGAAAGAATGGGAGACAAATAGGGGAAAAGTGATTTTCATTACTTATAGGTGAACTTTTTAATTATAATTAATTTTATATTTACTATTTTATTTTTCCTTATAAGTGATTTTTTAGTTAAAATTTATTTTTTTACTTAAAAGTAGATTTTTCTTAAAATCTATTTTTGTTTAACTTGTAAGAATTATAAGTGAATTTTTTAATTAAGTAATTTTTTTTTACTTATATTCTAATTATTTACTAAGTGATTTTTTTCTTTTTTTTACTTATAAGCAATATTTTACTAAAAGTTAATTTTTTACCCATACGTAACTTTTTCCTTATAAGTGAATCTTTGCTAATAAGTGATTGTTTATTATAAGTAAATTTATTTTTTATGTTACTTTTTACTTTCAAGCAAACTTTACTTCTAATTTACATTTAATTAAATTTGCATATTTAATTAAATTTTTTTTGTCTTTAGTTCATAACATCTTATAATACATTAATTTTAAATGGACTATAGTTGACTAAGTAGGATAAGCATAAAGCATTCTGCACTTTGGGGGAGTAAATTAAATGGATGCTCACTGAATTTTATTATTAGTTACTACTTGCTCATTTAAAAATAAATGGTTATCAAATGTTCACTCAACTATTCATTAATTTACACATCCATCACTGGCTTAATTTCGTCTATGCAGCTGGACAATAAATTTCACTTGGATATAAAAAAATGACGTGGTTGATGAATCATGTCCATGTCATCTAAAATTATTATTTTCTAAATAGCCAAAATCGTATAATTGGAAACAAACGTTTTTTGGATGGGCGAAATGAAAGTTATAAGAAATCAGAGAGAGATTGAGATTTTCCCCCCCAAATCACCTTCATCTTCAAATCACATCCTATAACTAATTTATTCAATTGGTAATCCCAGCTTTTTAATCAATATCCAAGAAGTTCTATATCTACATCCCAATTAATTGAAATTTACACTGTGCACAGTTCATCCCAACTTAGTGCGAACCTTTGATATTTCTATTTAATCAATACACTTAAAATTTGGCCACAAGACATAGAAAGATCCTTCTCGTGGTTGTAAGGAACACGAGGGACCCAAGAAGTACAAAAATCGAAGGAAATGTAGGTATGGAGGAAGCTCTTCTTCAGACCGTGGAGGAGGGACAACAAAAGGTAAATTTTAGACAATTTTTTTTTTATGGATTCGTCAATTTTATACAATGAATGTGGAAGACATGTCGTGATTTTGCCTAAATGGCCACTTTTTTGTCCAGAACATGTGACTATTGTTCAGGTTATGTAAATTTTGGTTACAGAGACATTTTTGTTGTCCATGTTTCATTTAAGGCATGTATGAAACCAAAATAATAGAGAAATTAAACATCTAAATCAGTGCTTTCATCGAATACCAAAAAATGTACATCAACAGAATTCAATGCAAACAAATACATATGGAAAAATTAGTATTCTATTAATATTTATGCGACACAAAACCTTAATTCTCAAATATAACCATTCATGTTGAAATCAACGAGAATGAAAATACTGGAAACATAAACGTACCTTGATAAATAGATTTTTGATTCTTAGTCTGAATGAGTTACGATCTTCCAATTGATTGGTGGTCTTCACTTCAATATTGCTATTTATTGATGGGGATGTAGAGAACCTCAAGAATACTAACAAATGTGGATTATAACCATATAAAATAATAGTAGCAACTCAATAGTCACTATCTTTCAGTTGCTTCAAATTGGCCCCTTATCAATTTAAAACAACACTTCGGTCTCTACATTATAATTTCATGAAACCTAATACCCACTAGTCACAATACATTTTCAACAGATCACTTTAATTGACTAATATCCTTTAAATAATAGTATCACACATTTTAATATTCAACTTGTGGCTCCATATATGTTGAAAATATCCAACAATCTCCCACTAGATCATACGTGTAATCTTACAAATGTGCACAACCTTATGAATTCAATCATTTTGCTATCATTATTATGAGTATTACCAAACAATCTCGTCCATTAATCATATTGATATATGATTAAAGCGATTTTCGTCACATTTAACGTGACTAAATCTATCAATGGTCACATACAGTCAAATGACATAGATCAATCATGGGAGTGTAGCATGAAAATTGCATGTTATGTGATCCAAACATGTCTATTTTCAACTGGTCCAACCTTATTTCTTAAGTGAGATCAACCATAAACTTTAATCAGAGTGAAACTGAACAGAATACTTTATTTCTGAAATTAACCGAATATCCATAAACAAAATATGTGTCTATAACAGACAACATCCAAATACAAACTCTCACTAAACTGCCACATCATCAAAAGATGCAACATTCATGTGAGCATTATCAACATGAAAGACCTTGGGTGTAGCCATTTAATAAATAGATCCATGATTATGAAATTTGTCTTAACATGCTTTATAGAATTCTAGTCACTCTGATTTCTTTCCACATTGTCATGTACCCGCTGAAACACAAGACTGCAATTGTCACAAAATAACTTAAGTAGTCGTTCAATTTTATCTCAAATATGCAGCCTAGTGACAATATTTTGCAGTCGTATTCCATGATCATAATCAAAATATCCAACGATCTCCAATTAGTTTAATTTTTTTGAATGTGATCATGTAATCCTTAGTTCTCTATAAGTACTGAATAACCTCATGACTGTTTTCCAAATTTCCATCCCGAAATTAGTTAAATATCAGCCTAACATTTCAACAATGAATGCTATATTTAAATGTGTGCAAATAGAGAATTTCATGTATTTTCTTTTCTTTAAATTTATCCATAGGGTATTAATTGAGACCAAACTTGTCTCCTTTAGCAATATGAGTATCACTTGAATTTCATATCTATATTTCAAATCTTTTAAGAACCTTATTGATGCATATCTTTTGTGATAACCCAAAAATACAACAAAAACAATTCTTGTGTATCTATATCATTAATACAAAAGATGTATCACCAAAATTATTCATTTCAAAAAACTATGACAGAAATCTCTTGGTTTCTCTCAATAAGTTTATATCATTGCAGACAAGCAGTATGTCATGGACATACAATACCAAAAATATGATTTCTCCCACTAAATTTGTGATATACACAATCATCAACTGAATTTTTCTCAAAACCAAATGAGATAATTATTTGATGAAATTTGTGATACATTCGACAAGAAACCAACTTAAGCTCATAGATGGATTTCTTTAATTTGTAAACCATCTAATGTAATTTAAAATCAAAATTTGTCACAAATGTCATAATTGTTCTAAAAGAGTTTTCATATAAACCAGAGAAAAATCTCTTTATGCATGACATCAATCCACTCTTTAGAATTATTCATTTGCATGAATTGATGAAAGTTGATTGATCAGGTCTTCTTTCACAAATCCATGTCATCCTTATTTTCTTGGAAAAAGACTATAAAATCATCCAAAATTGTCTTTCTCCATTTTATAGTGGATTTCCTTAATGACATTTGTTCTTGAGATTGATGAGTTTGTTTTTCTGGAACAATCTCTTGATTGTGTATAGGAGATTTTGTAATGTAGTCTTGATCCGAAATTGTTTCTTGAACAAGATCTGGAGCAAGAATTTGTCCATGAACC